GGATTAATTGAAGGTCAAAGATCTTGGGCGCTACGCGCACGTCTCCTGGTGGAGCTTTGGCAAGTCATGAACCCATCTCTGCTAGGAGACAAAAGCACTATTGGCGAGAGCACTGGACCGAGACGGTCAATGTGCTGGACATTGAGATCTCCGAGTTGGTAGACACCGACGGTTTATCGAACAGGAGTCCCGGGCGTGGCTTGCGGGCTGATCGTGGAGTGAGACGTAACCCACTGAGTGCTACTCAAGTTCTGGAGCAGTCGCTGCATGTTATGCGTGACATGGTCAACCAAGGGCCGAGGCATCGAGAGCGAGTCCCCCGTGATGCACGTGAGGTGGCACGTAAATCACTGAGCACTGCTCTCGTTGCAAAGCAGTCGCTGAATGCCATTGATGGCGTGGTCAGACAGAGTGCAAGGCATCGTGGGCACGGCCCTTCAGATGCGCATGGAATGGCACATTATCCGCTGGACGAAGACTGCGGGGTTAGCAGCTCTTCGTCCGATGTTGTAGATAGCATCGGAGCTCCAAAGAAGCGGACAGTGAAGGTGACACCGGACGACGCGGAGTGCGTGTTCACCCTGGTCTCACCAGAAAAAAGAACCTCTGTTCAGAGGCGACGGCGACGCCGTATGCTGGCTGCAAGACGCCGGGCGTCGACTCGATCCAGAGTACAATACGCACAGTGAACTACGTGTCTCTCCTCATTCAAGGTGTCTATTAAAGGCGTTGTGAGCCAGCGCGGCAACCTTGACAGGTGCTTGCCGTCTTCATCGGGAGGGGTGTGCCTACCGTAGACGATGGTGCACACTTATTCACCCTCGTCAACGGTTTGACGGGGGAGGAAGATGGCGACGTCCGCCTCGAGGCTATGCCTGCAGTACATGCTCTTCTTGAGCTGGACAAGATGTCCCTTGAATAGTTCCGGTAGTGCCTTGAAGGCAGACAATTTGGCCGAAGTGGTCATTGTACCACCGGACGAGGAGATAAACTCGTCATCGCTTCTTATGAAGTTGTCTTGGAGGACACGAAGAGAGTGCTGAACGCACGAAGTAGATCGTCGATCCTACAGAATCCCTTGGATCCGTACTATCATTTGGTAAATGAATTTTATGACGTCGTCTCTAGAGACCCGCCTTTGGTCCTACCTCCGGACCGAGGTGCGCGTCATGAGATTGACCTGGTTTCGGAAACCAAATACTGCGTAACACGCCAATGGCTCCTGCCCGAGGAGCAGTGCGACGTCATTGACGCCTTTTTCTGTGTGAAACACGACGCAGGGAAGGTACGTGAGAGCAAATCTTCTAATTCGACACCCACCTTTGTGTTCAAAAGCCGAACGGCAAGTGACATATCGTTTATGCTTACAATAAGCTCAACGCTGCCAACATTCTGGCACAGACAGCGATTCCTGGAAAGGATGTTCTTCAGAACAACATGGTGGGATATACGAAGTACAGTGTACTCGACTTGGTCGATGGGTATTACCAATTGCTCATGAGAGCG